GGGGCGTCAGCATTGGAAGCGGCAGCATGGCCGGCATGCCGGCGGCCGGCACCGGAAGCCACGCACCTCGAGCACGCAATCGGCCAGGCCGGTGATGAAGGCCAGGCAGCAGAGGGTGGCCGTGTGGCGCAGGCCGCGCAGGCGCGACTCCGAGCACTCGACCACCCAGGCCAGGAGCGCCCCGGCGACTTGCTCGCTCAGCAGGAGCCCCGGCCCGAGGGACCGCGGCAGCAGGCGCCAAAAGGTCTGGAGGTTGGTGCGGGCCGTGCGGCCGGCGCGGGAGGTCCGCTGCCCGACCGGGTAGGCCGGCGCCAGGCCGAGGGCCCGGCCGGACTGCTGGTCGGCCAGCTGCTCGATCTGGCGCAGGGCGTCGCCCGGGTCGGCGGCCAGGACCTCGGCCAGGCGCACGCCCGACAGGCCGGCCAGGCCGAGAAGCACATTGAGCAGGGCACCTGCGGCCGCGGCCGGGTCGCCGCGAAAGACCGAGGCATACTGGTCGCACGTGAGCTCCATCGGATCGACCTGGGCCGTGGGGCCGGCCCCGCGCCGGGGCGCCGACACGGGCCGCTCGGTGAAGGCCTCCCGCAGGCAGGCCTGCAGCTCGGCCTCCAGGCGCTGGCCATCGAGCGAGGTGATCAGCCGCCACCGCCGAAAGGGCGGGGCGCTGGCGGGGGCGCTGGCGGTGGCCCCGGGGCCGGCTGACGGGCCGGTGGCCCCGGCCCCGGGCCCAGCCTCGGCCCCCAGCGACGAGCTGTACATGGCGAAGAGCTCCTCATCCTCGAGATCGCGGATGCGCGGCAGCCGCAGGCGCGGCGGGTGGGCCGGCACCACCCGCTGAGGTGCCGGCCCTCGGGCCCGGCGAGGGGTCCTGGCCGGCGACAGGGGCCCCGGCTCGGGCGAGGGGCTGCGAGAGGGGGCCCGCGCCGGGGCCCGCCGAGTGGCCCCCCCGCTTGCCCGGGGGGCGGGAGCCGCGGACGACGAGGCGCCGCCGCCGGGGCTTGGGCCGGCCTCCGGCGGGGCCCTGCGAGGTGCGGCCCGGGCGGGAGGCCGCCGGGCGCCCGGCCCGGCGCGACCGGCCCGGCGCTCCGGGACTTCGGGCCCGCCCGAGAGCATGGCATCCGCGCTGGGCGCCGGCGAGGGGCTCCGCCGGGGGGCCGGCGGCTCGGCGGCCCGGCGGCGCTTGGGCGCCGGTACCAGAGGAGCTGGTGCCGAGGCCGGGCGGGCTCGCCGCCGCGGGTACCGCGCCGAGGGAGGGGTGTCCGCCATGCTGGCCCGGCCCGTGGGGGGGGGGGGGAGAAAACCGGAGGTGCGAAGAGGGCGGCGGAGGGAGCGAGCGACAGGCGAAAAAAAAAAAAACAAAGGGCAGAGCGGGAGTCCGGCAGGGGGGAAAGAGAGCGAGATGCCACGATCGCACTTGCGCGCGCACTTGCGGCGGCTGGCTGGCCCTTGAGCCCGTCCGGGGGGGGGGGGCGGCGCGCGGCCTCCGTCACAACGCGACCCCCGGGCGCATAACGATCATTTCAAATTGGATGTGCCATCCGTTGGGAGGTGGTATGGGCTAAAGTCTAAGGTGTATTCCGGCCGAGGGGCCGGGGGCGCGTGCCGGGGGCATGCGCGTCCCCCCGCGCCGCAAAAAGGGGGCAGGGAGCGGGGAGAGAGAGAGAGAGAGAGAGAGAGAGAGAGAGGGAAAACAAGGGCAAGGGCGGGGCGAGTCGGCGCCGGAGAAGGGGGGCGGAGCGCGGGGGGGGGCATGAGAGCGGGGAGAGAGAGAGAGAGAGAGAGAGAGAGAGAGAGGGAAAACAAGGGCAAGGGCGGGGCGAGTCGGCGCCGGAGAAGGGGGGCGGAGCGCGGGAGGGGGGAAAACGGGTGGCACGCCGGCCCGCGTCCAGGGAGGCCGTGCGCGCGTCGGTGAGTCAAGAAGCACGGACGGAGGGGGGGGGGGGGAGGGGGGATGGCGCGTCACCAGTGCTGCTCGGTGAGGTCCGGGCCATGGTCGGGCTCCGGGCCGAAGTAGGGCGGCCAGTCGCCGTCGGAGGGGTCGGCATCGGGGTCGGGGCAGGGGGGCGGCCGGTCGCCAGCCGGGGAGTCCGGATGACGGGGCGAAGCCTCGGCCGGTGGGCGGGGCACGAAAAGGGCGCCGTCGGGGGGGCCGGCATCGGGGTCGGGGTGGGCGCCGGAGCCGGTCCGGGCGCTCGGGGCCGCGAGGTCCGGCAGCGGCACATAGAAGGCCCCCCACTTTTTGCGGTTCTCCAGCCAATCCGGCGGGAAGGCGGCCCGCTCCGGGCGGCTGTTGGCCAGGCAAAAGTCCGCGGCCATCGGCGGGAGCTTGAAGTGCTGCGGGAACCGGGCGTGCACGGCGAAGAGCAGGTCCTCGAGGTCCGGGGTGCGGACCGCCGCAGACCGGAGGTCCTCGTCCATGTTGGACCCGATGCGCAGGTTGCTGAGGAAGCGCTCGCTCCAGGTATGCTCCGGGATGGGCAGGCTATTCCGGCGAAGCATGTCATAGATGCGCGCGCGCTGGGGGGCCGGGGGGGGGGGGGGGGAGGGGGGGCCGGGCACAATGCCGGAGGGGGAGGCAGGGGACAGTGGCGTCAGCGCCCCGGGGGGAGGGGGAGGGAGTGCAAGTCGAGGGGCAGGAAGCAGGCAAAGGGGCAGGCAGAGGGGCAGGCAGAGGCCGACGCACCACCGCCGGCGAGGCCGACACGCCGAAGAAGAAGTCCGGCGGGATGTAGAAGTTGCTGGCCAGCATCTGCCGGTAGAAGGGGACGATGGCCTCGATGGAGTCGTGCTTGGCCAGGATCTGGAAGAGCATGTGGTAGGACATCTGAGCCGGGAGGACGCCCAGGTGCTCGGTCAGCAGCTGGAAGTAGTGCGTGGCCATGAGGACCGCCCGCTGGGGGACCGGGTCCACCCGGGCGGCGCTCAGCAAGATCTGCAGGGTCATCTGGTTGGGCTGCGAGAGGGTGGCCTCGCGCCGGAGGAAGCCGCTGGTGGCCTCGCTGGAGAAGGGGTTGCGCTGGGCGAAGAGCTGGCGCGCGGCCGAGCGCGACAGGACCGGCCAGTCGCCGGACTCGGAGGGGCTGCCCTTGGCCGGGGCCGGGGCCGGGGCCGGCATCGGGGCCGGCCAGATCCGCCGGTGCCGGGGGACCGAGGGCCGGAGGTCCGGATGCCCGGCCAGCGCCTGTTGGTCCAGGCCCACCGCCACGCGGACATTCCCAAAGAGCGACCGCTCCCACATGGGGAGGTCGATGTCCGGGCGGAAGATCGGATACGACGACAGGAGCCAGATCCGGCGGAATTTGTCCGACACATGGCCGGTGTCCACCAGCTGCCCGGGCAGGTGCACCGTGCCCGGGGGGTTTTGCCGGTAGTGCTGCTCGAAGTAGAGGTACGTGTCCAGGAGCTGGCCCTCCTGCACCGAGAGCATGCGCAAATTCTCGTTGGCCAGCTGGACCGGCACGCGCAGGGCCCGGGCCGTGCGGGTGCTGCCATCCAGCACCGGCGGCTGGTCCGCGCGGACCTCCGTGTCCAGGCAGCCCCGCAGGTAGAGCTCCACCGCCTCCGGGCTCAGGCGTCGGAGCAGCGGCGAGAAAATGTCACACAGGGGATCCGCCTGGCCATCGGCCGGGGGCGGGGCGGCGGCACCGCTGCTGCCAGTGCCGCCGGTCCCGCCGTGGGCCTCGGCCTCCAGGCACTGGGTCAGGTCCTCCAGCACCGGGAGGGCCATCTGCATGGCCACATTGGACTGGAGGTAGTCCAGGCGAAGCTGGGCCAGGGCCCGGCTGTAGACCCGCTCGGCTAGGACCACCTTGCCGTGGGTGATGAGGCTGCGGATGTAGTGCGAGTACATGCCGGCGGTGGGGGTGATGCCGACATCGCGCGCCTGGGCGAAGACCCGCGCCGCGGCGGCCAGATCCCCGGCCCGGCCGTGCGTCTTGATCAGCTTCTCCAGGGCACTGGTCACCATCAGGCGCTGGGAGGGGCTGAGGGGCGTGGCTTCGGCCATGAAGTCGGTCATGATGCGCCAGGCGCCGTCCGGGTCGTCGGCGCGCAGGCGCCGCAGGAAGGCCGGGAACACCAGCATCGAGGCCACCGCCGGGAACCGGGCCTCCAGCAGGTCCATGAAGGCCGACATGCCGGACAGGTCGCCGAGGTACTCCAGCGCGCGGATCAGCTCCTGCAGCACCATGTGATGGTACTGGCGCTGCTCGGGGGTCCGGGGCTCGGGGGCCTGGCCCGGCACCTGGAGCGCGGGGTTCCAATAGGGCCGCGACCACTCGGCGTCGAGGGCCTCGATGTCCAGCACGTCGAAGTACTGCCGGAACACGGCGAAGAGGCTGGGGAAGTCGCGTGCCCGGCGCAGGGCCACCATCGTGTCGTAGACGATGTGGCTGTCGCGTGCGTTGCTATGTTGTTGGTAGTGGTGGTGGTGGTGGTGGTGGTGGTGGTGGTGGTGGTGGTGGTGGTGGTGGTGATGATGATGATGATGATGATGTTGTTGTTGTTGTTGTTGTTGTTGTTGTTGTTGGTGGTGGTGGTGGTGATGTTGTTGTTGTTGTTGTTGTTGTTGTCGTTGTTGGTTGTGGTGGTCGCAGTATTGTTGTTGTTGTCGTTGTTGGTCGCGGTGGTCGCAGTATTGTTGGTGGTGGTGGTGATCAAAGGAGGGAGGGGCCATGTCAGAGTGAGTTGCGTGATGAAGTGGCAGGGTGAGCGAAGGGAGCAGGGCGTATGTGGCCATGTGTGGATGCATGGGAAGGAAGCCGGCACGCCGGCGGGGGAGCAAGCGAGGGCAAAGGGGAAGAAAGTGCCGAAGGAGGAGGCAGCACATGACGGAAAGCCCCACGCACCCTTCCGGATCCTGCTCCCAAAGGTTGACGATGAGCTCCACGTCCGGGGCCAGGCCCAGGGTCTGGAGCATGGCCGCGCGCAGGCCGGGCGAAATGGCCGGCCGATCGGTCACCAGCCGCCGGAGGAGCGGCTGCAACTGGCCCGGGGTCAGGGTCTGATCCTGGATCAGGGGCCGGAGCAACGGCAGTATATGACAGTAGAAGGTGTCGGAGAAGCGGCCCACATCCTGGGACAGGCTTTGGACGAAGGCACTGGCCCAGGCCGGGCCGCTGCTGAGGCAGTCCAGGAAGAGCCGGTACGCCAGGTCATCCCCGACCGAGGGCCGCGAGAGGACATGGTGCAGGAAGGCGCCGAAGGGCTGTGGCCGGTTGAGAGCATGGCATGCGGCGAAGGTGGCCCCGGCCAGGTGCATGGTGTGCGCCTGGGAGTCCGGCGCGCAGAGGAGCATGTGCGTCAGCTCGAAGAAGGCCTCGTCCGAGGTGTCGAGCGACCGGCGCAGGGCCGCATCCAGCAGGCCGAAGGACAGCCCGGCCCGGGTGTCGGGGAAAACCTGGCCCAGCAGCCGGAGGAGCGGCCCCTCACGCAGGGCCGGGTTGCGCAGGGCCTGGGCGAAGGCGAACTCCCGGTCGGCCAGGGGGATGCCGGCGGCCGCGTCCGGAGCGCTAACGATTTGCGCGGGGGCGTGGGGGAAGAGGGGGGGAGGAGGGGGAGAAAAGGAGGAGGAGCAGGAGAGGGGAAGAGCATAAGAGGGGAAGAGCATGAGGAGGGAAGACCATGAGGGGGGAAGAGCATGAGGGGGGAAGAGCATGAGGAGGGAAGAGGGGGGGGGAGGAGGGGGAGAAAAGGAGGGGGAGAAAAGGAGGAGGAGAAAAGGAGGAGGAGCAGGAGAGGGGAAGAGCATGAGGGGGGAAGAGCATGAGGGGGGAAGACCATGAGGGGGGAAGAGCATGAGGGGGGAAGAGCATGAGGAGGGAAGAGGGGGGGGGAGGAGGGGGAGAAAAGGAGGGGGAGAAAAGGAGGAGGAGAAAAGGAGGAGGAGCAGGAGAGGGGAAGAGCATGAGGGGGGAAGAACATGAGGGGGGGAGAGCATGAGGGGGGAAGAACATGAGGAGGGAAGAGCATGAGGGAGGAAGAACATGAGAGGGGAAGACCATGAGAGGGGAAGACCATGAGGGGGGAAGAGCATGAGGGGGGAAGAGCATGAGAGAAGGAGGGGGACCGGTGAGAAGGACCAAACACAGAGACAGGCAGGCAGGAGGGAGAAGGCAGGACGCCGGCGAGCGGGTGCGTACACGGTGAAGGCCCACAACATTTCCGGGATCCAGACACTGGACGTGTCGAGGAGGATGCGCTCCACATGGCGCGCCGCGTCGGCCACCTGGTCCGGCACGTCGGGCGTCGTTTGGGCGGCCTGGCGCTCGGAGGCCGCGCGCAGCATGCTCAGGGTCTCGAGAAAGTGCGCCGGGTCCGGGAAGAAGGACCGCGGAGACCGGAGCTTCCAGACATTGAGCAGCATGGTGCGCGAGAGGGGGTCATCCAGCCGGGCGGCCAGGCGCAGCAGCCGGCCCATTTGCCGGCCGGACAGCCGGGCCCCGGTCCGATGGATGGCCTCCCCGAGGAGGGTCTGCTCATCGGCCGGGGGGATGTACGCCAGCAGGGCCTGGGCGCCGGCCAGCGCGGCCGGCGGCAACGAAGGCAGGGTCTCGCCGAGGGCCGGCAGCCCGGCCAGGGCCTCCGCGCCATCGGCCGCGGTCAGGCGGTCGAGGGACGCCTGGAGGAAGCGCTCGGCCATGCGATGGACATGGGCCCGGGCCTTGGCCGGCAGGACATCGGCCGGGACATCGAGGGCCGCCTGGAAGAGAGCCGCCGCCGAGCCGAGATCGACGGCCGTCAGTCCGGCAACCTGCGGCAGGGCCCCGACCACCGGGCGCAAGGTCCCCAGCATGAGAGCCAGATCGCGGCTGCCGGCGACCAGCTGCAGGAAGACCGCCAGGGCGGACTCGGGGGAGGGGATGATTTCCGGCCGGGCCGGCCGGGCCCCCTCCCGGCCGCCAGACGCGTGATCCGACGACCCGGGGGCCGGGCTGGCGGCCGGCCGGGCGACATCCATCGGGCAGGGGGGGACAATGTCCGGGAGGACCAGGGCATCCGGGGCGGCCGGGCCATCGGCGGCGAGACCACGCAGAGCCGCCGCCAGAGCCGGGCTCGTGACGAAGGCCGGCGAGTGGAGCAACGCATGGATGTGCTCGCGCGCGGCATCCGAAAAGGAGAACGGGCTCGGCAGGTCGAGCGGCCGGTCGGCCAGCAAGCCGCCAGCCGGCGTCGGGGCCCCGAGCAGGGCGCGCAAGAATTCCTGGGCCAGCTGGCGAAGGGCCGCGCGGGCGTGGCTTAAGGCCGGCGTGGCGGCCGGGTCGGCCAGCACCCCGGGCAGGGCCGCCAGCCAGTCCGGGCTGCCGAGGGGCATGGCCGCCCCGGAGCCGGGGTCCAGCACCGGGACCCCGGCGAGGGCGACCACCGCCGCCGGGCTCGACAGGTAGCCCATCAACTGGGCGAAGGCCGCCGGGGAGAGGTGCTCCGCCAGGGGGACACCGGCGGCGGCGGCGGCCAACACGCGGTCCCGGAGCCCGGCCACCACATGCTGGTGGTTGAATTGCGTGAGGGCCAGCTGCAGGGCCGCGTCGGTGTCCCACCGGCGGGCTGGAGCCTCGGGAGAGGGCGGCTCCGCGGCGGGCGGCTGTTGGAGCAGGAGGGCCGACAATTCCGGCGTCGAGGCCAGCAAGTCCATCAGCCGGTCCCAGAGGCTGGCGGTGCTGCCGCCGGCGGCGGCGGTGGCCACGGCCGCCAGGCCAGTGTCAGACTGGTCCATGCGGGGGGGGGGGGGGGGCATTAATGGTCGGGCGCAAAGACATGGAGGGGGGCGATGGAGCGGGGAGCATGGTGCGCACAGCTTGCCGGAGCAGGGCCAGGTTGATGCATGCGCCAGATCGACGCATGGAGGCGAGCACGGCCTCGGGCCCGGCGAAGGGGCTATGCATGGATGCCCTGTAGGGGAGGGAGAGGGCCCTCGAGCCGGTGTTAAAGAGGGGGTGGGGGTGGGGGGGGGGGGCCTGCGTGAAAGGCAGCACGTGTGGGAGATGCGCACATTAGCATGATGTTGTATGTGGGGGCCAGGCCGGGCGGGGGGCCGGCCGTCAGGAGGGCGCTACCGGGGGGAAGGGCGTCGACCATGGCGAACAAGCGACCCAAGGCCAGGGTCTCGCCACGCTCGAGCAGTGTTCTGAGGAGAGGGCTGTCAGCGGTGGGGGGAGTGGGGGG